ACAAAATTTGCATATTCATAAATTCTGGAAAAAAGAGGTAAGACACCTTTTTAAGGATTTTAAATTATACTTTTTTTAATATCAGACACACATTATTGTTTCAAGCAGACAGTTCCTGTATGTCTTAATACATGTTTGGAGGGGATATTTAAAAGGTCCAGTGTGTAGGATTTAGTGGCATCTAGCCATGTTAAAGACTGAAATCTGCCTGTTTTGGTGTTATATTAGACATCATACAGACCTCGTGCTAACTGCAGTTTAGGTAAGAGCAGAAAATTCACCCCAAAAAGTTTTTAAGGCTTGTAGGAGCCACTATTGGAACAGGTTTTTAGATAAAGGACCCTGCGTCACCACAGCTGACACACAGAATGATAGCCGTATCACAGACAAACACGAACCATGAATGTATTAATAACTCAAGTCAAAATATCTCTTAGGGGACTCAGAGAATCATTAACTCCCAGCACCTGCTCCTCATCAACATTACTGTAGACCAAACAAGCTATAAACAGGCACACTTCCTGATTTAAGCACCAGTTGTTCTCTGAAAACAGTTAATATGTAAAGTTACGCTCCACAACAAAACGTCAGCACACTCTGCAGTGTTGCTGTGTGGTCTAATATTTTAATGTCTTTTAATAAAAACATGACGTCTGCCAAAAAGCACAACAGTACAGTGAGCAGAGAGAAGGTCATTCCCCACGGGGGCCGCCGAGCTAAAAACGAATGCTACCGTAAGGCGTTTGTGGATAAAAGTGCCCACCAAATGGCATAGATTTCCTGTGAAGGGTCAACACCATGTCAAAGAATTGTACCAAACATCTGCACTCCACCCAGGCATTCAACTTTAACACAATGCTGAGACAAATGCAAATAATGTAGTTCCTCCTTTTCCTTTCTGTGTCCTGTTTTTCACCAAACCTATTTATTCTTCATTTTCTCTCCCTCCACATCTCCCCCTTCCTGCTTTTTGTAACTCGTCTCTCTTGCCATCACCTTCCGCTCCTTCTCTGTTTCCTGTAATCCAGCATCTTCTTTCCTTTCAGTCTCTGTTGAGGATTTTCTGTCCTTATCTTCTGTACATCATTGCTGCCAGCCAATGACTGACCTCATTTGCTGCTTTCAGGCACATCAAACCCTTTTGTTTACAGCTTCATATGACATTGCTATAGGTCAGTGGTTTCCTTCCTTTTCAGCTTTTTGACTAAACAAAGTGATGTCTCTGGCCTCTACAGATTGAAAAACTAAACATTAGAGCAAACTAAAAAAATTCACTCAGCGAAGATGGTGCTAAGTTAAGCCTCATTTTGCCAACCCTAAGTGTATTTGTTATTAAACTGGTTGTGGGGCGGTGCTTAAATCAGAAGTGGGCAGGACTAAGCAATAGTTTAAGCCTGAAAATTAAATGGATTGATCAGAAGTTGCTATATTTATTAGAAAACTAGTTAAAGAGCAGCCACAGAGTTTAAGAGCAATGATTTTGTAATGCAGAAATTCCACCGGGTACGGCTTTGTTTGGCTCCGTCATTCGCACGTCTACAACTCCCACAGAGAGCATTTCAGAAGCGGAGCATCTTCAGAGTCTCTTGCCTGCCCGATGTTGTTGACTTGTTATTTTGTCCTTTTATTAGTGCTTCTGCTTCTGGTGGAATCACAAGCATTGTTTAGAACGGGCACAAACATCTCCGACGACTGATGCACAGCTGGAACGCGTCACAGCCACGCCCGGTAGACTTTGGCCATAAGAGAACTATTAAATAACTACTATAAGTTACGTTTTTTATTAATAAAAGTTGCTATATTTAATTTAATTGACACATTTTAGTCTGATTATCTGTACCGGATTCTTGTTTCAGCCAAGTACTTGCTCAGCCCAAGTATTTCTCATGGCAAATAAATGTCAGCCGTGGTGTGGGAAAATTAGTGGAGATACAAACATCCAAACTGCTTGGCAATCTCGCACCAGTACCCCTGTCAGCATATTCCATCCGTCCAGCTGACTTCCAGTAAGGATTATGAGTAACAACAAAGGCCTGTTGGGTGCAAACATCTGAACATCCATATGCGAACACACCCAACCGCTCCCACAAATATGCAAATATTATGCATAAATTATTCATCACAGTACAAGAGACTCAACCATCTGGATGTAACAAGTATTTTCCTATCTTTTGCCATCTCTGATGTCTGCGGTCTTAAACAAATACAACTCCCAATCAGTCCAAATTCGGTCAAATTCGGTGTTGCATTGTTGACGGCTGTGAGCTGTTGTATATCTGCTCGCTGGAGGGCAAATATTCTGGCTGGGGTGTAACAAACTAGGTCCGGGTGGGAAGTTTACGAAAGGATTGTAAATAACATAAAAGGAAGCAGAGAGATTTTTTTTAAATTCTGGTATGAAGCTGCAGGAGAAAAAAATGTTTTGTTTTATGTCCAGATCAGTAACTCTGGGTTCCTGTTTAACAAAACTGGGCTATTAAAAGTATGAATATGCTCGTAAATGTCGTCCATAAACCTTCTTGTCCTCGCTCCCCCCTTTTTATTTCTTTCTCTATTAGAGTTCTCACTCTCTCGTGGTCTGTCACTTACACATGAGTAGAAATATGCGCTGCGCCGTGGGTACGCTGCAAACAGGAACTTGTCAGCCTAATTTGTTCCATGAGGGCAGTGTGGTCGCCGCCCTTTATTTGTGTTTCTGCTTAGCAGCTCTGACATCATCAAGGCATGTCAAGTGAAGCAAAAATAAGGTCAGAGAGAGAACGACATCCGTCTGGCCCAGCACCAGGGGGTTACCGGCATCCCAAACATCTGTGTGTGTGTGCGTGCGTGCAGTGTTTCTACTGTGACCTCTCTCTAGTAATGTCCTCATGCTCAATTTAACCGACTCGGGCAGTTCTGCGGGCCTCATCCGTCCACACATTCAGAAACGTCCCTGCTTAGCTGTGAGGTTATATTCAAAAAGTGTTGACACACAAAAGAATCCAAGCCATTAACCAGTTTGTAGCTCGCTCACATGCTTGGTTTTTGAGGTTTCAAGCACCTCCACTTACACTGTCACTCCAGACGTGCAGTCAGATCTGCTGCGGACAACCAGCCGAAACCACATCCTGAATCTCACGCTGTGCATCTGGCATACGTGTAACAGCAACATCTGCAACAGAGTGTGATGTGAGCGCGCTGGCAGAGCGGAGCACCGTGAATATGTGCTACTGTCTACACCTACACCCTGCAGAAAGTGAGATTTTTTTGGTAGATTTCTATGAGTGTTCACACTCATCTCCCTGCACCGAACCTAAAATCTTAATCTTGTTCACAAACAACTGATTATCGCTTTCTGAGCATCCAACTCGTTTTCACATCACCTCCTTTGTCTGATCTGTTAAATGTCGGCCTCGCGGGTTGAGTCATAGCATGGTGGTCAGCGAGGTACCAACACAGCGAAGCCAACCAACACCAGACGGTGATACAAACGCCTTTGTTCTCTCAAAGTCTCCCTCTTCCTTCTCTCCCACAATATCCAACTGTTCCATACATGGGGTTTATTTGCATTAGAGACACAGGTAAGGGCGACTGTTCTTGTGTATGCAAAACATGAGCAATATATACACAACAAGCAAAGTTACCAAGCAAAGTCGGCGTCGAAGTTTGCACTGGCGCTCTCTATAAAACATCCTCTTCCTGCTCCTGTGTAAAGTGGTTCTTCGGCAAACAGTTTTGCTTTATCACAAGAAAGATCGACAGTACTAGATATTCATCTCTTGCAAAACAAAGACAAGGACAAGTCACACCTGTCCAGAAGGCGCTTTCTGTGGGCTGTGCAGCAAATCTCATGCAAATGTTTGCA